TGAAGGTCATTCATTTGAACAAACTTGGTAGCCCTTCACCCAAGCATGCTACTGGCCAAATATCATCTCCCTGGGCAGTTTGGTTATCGAGAAGAAGATGTTTAAAGTTTTTAACATATTTGACCCCTGTGACCTTGAAAATGGGTGAAGGTCATTAATTTTAACAAACTTTGTAGCCCTTCATCCCAGTTTGCTTCTGACCAAATATCGACACCCTAGGCCTTTCGGTTATTAAGAAGAAGTCGTTTAAAGTAAAATATTGATACCGGACGACGGACGACGGACGGACGGACGACGGACGCCGCGCCACGGCATAAGCTCACTTGGCACTTCGTGCCAGGTGAGCTAAAAACGCTGTTGACTGAATTCTTGTATCGACCGACTGTGACAACGGGACTAGCCCATTGTTCGAGTTCTCGGCTGGTGTTGGTGTTACTGTCGCTGAGGGGACTGGCTGACAAGCCGGGATGATTTGACCTGCTTGTTGGTGTTACTGTCGCTGAGGGGACTGGCCGACAAGCCGGGATGATTTGACCTGCTTGTTGGTGTTACTGTCGTTGAGGGGACTGGCCGACAAGCCGGAATGATTTGACCTGCTTGTTGGTGTTACTGTCGCTGAAGGGACTGACCGACTAGCCGGGATGATTTTACCTGCTTTGCTACTTGCAACAGACGCTAGTGTAGAGGACAGCGATGCTTTTCTGTTCTGTTGAAAATGACCTGTTATGGGATTTAATAGCAGACTCACTTCGGTGGCCGACATAAACATGATGTTCCTTGATTTAAAACCAGTCATACATCGCCTGTGTTGCCGTGACACGGAGACAGTGTGTTGTGGTTTTGTTTTCAGCTCCCTTATTTAATTAAACAGTATGATTTCTTATTGATCAGTACATAGTTATTCACATAGATACAAAAATATAATAAAATATATTTTTATGTTTTTAAATTTTGAACCGTTGATCAAAAATAATCTTAGGGCTTTTCACGAGGGAGGGGGAGGGGGGGGAGGGGAAGGGGTTGACTGGTGTGTTTCCATACTGAGGTCAGAGGTCATCTAACGGTAGTATTGTTAATATTACATGTACTACACACTTGCTTTTATTGAATCATTAAAACATTATGAGTTCTTACTGTTATCTAGAAGGACTGCAACACAAATGTGAATGTATGTATGCATATACATGTATACAACCGGTTTGTGACAAATCTCGCATATGGCAGCACATCAAGATATTCATACATGTACTAGATATCATAATAATTGATAATGACGATATTCAGCAATACAATACATGTAATAATGAAAATATAAAAAGTTGAAAAAAATAGCTGTCTTAATGTCAAGATATATTGTCCTAATATCATCAACAGAATAATAATGAAAATATAAAAAGGTGAAAAAAATAGCTGTCTTAATGTCAAGATATATTGTCCTAATATCATCAACAGAATAATAATGAAAATATAAAAAGTTAAAAATTGCTTTCTAAATGTCGAGACATATAGTTCTATTTCTAGTTTGTTTAAACAGATGTTTTTAACCATATAAAAGCAAAATGTTTTATTACAAGTTCCAGGACATTATAAATGCCATTTCCTTACAATTTGTGAGGGGTCCTTACCAGCACCGACAGCATTAGTGATGAGCTAATACCATATTCCTTACAATTAACTGGTTCCATTGTTCATTACATTCCGTGATGTGTTGTCTGTCTTCTTTAACGTTCTATACATCCTCGAACACTCGTTCCCACTGCGACGTCAGTGCCGGGAAGAGGCCTATCACGTGACTCTTTTCTAAACCTAAGTGTTCTATTTCTGTTAAATATGTCATCCCTTTTCCGTCCAAGGAATCCATTTTACGGCAAATTCCTATCAAAGAAGAAACATTGTGTTCCTCTAGTTTATGTTAAGTTGCATGTCCGGTGTTACTTAGGGTGACGGATCTATGCCATGATTTGTCGTTTGGCAATACAAGTATACCAATTCTATGACAAGCTGGCATTCCGTTAGATATACAGTAAAGGCAAGTTGTCATATAAATGTCTGTCCTGTTGTCCGACTTTCTATTCTTAATCAGTAGATCTGTCCGTCCTATGTCAGTCCGGCAACAGTACGATTGTCCGTCCTCATGTCTGTCCAGTTGTCTGATTTACTACTCTTTATCAGTAGATTTGTCCGTCCTATGTCAGTCCGGCAACAGTACGATTGTCCGTCCTCATGACTGTCCAGTTGTCTGATTTTCTGTTCTTTATCAGAAGATTTGTCGGTCCTCTGTCAGTCCGGCAACAGAACGATTGTTCGTCCCCACGTGTGTCCAGTTATCTGATTTTCTGTTCTTTATCAGTAGATTTGTGGACTCGGTCCTATGTCAGTCCGGCAACAGTACGATTGTCCGTCCTCATGTCTGTCCAGCTGTCTGATTTTCTGTTCTTTATAAGTAGATTTCTCGGTCCTATGTCAGTCAGGCAACAGTACGATCGTCCGTCCTCATGTCTGTCCAGTTGTCTGATTTTCTGTTCTTTATATGTAGATTTCTCTGTCCTATATCAGTCCGGCAACAGTACGATCGTCCGTCCTCATGTCTGTCCAGTTGTCTGATTTTCTGTTCTTTATAAGTATATCTGTCCGTCCTATGTCAGTCCGACAACAGTACGATTGTTCGTCCCCAGGTCTGTCCAGTTGTCTGATTTTCTGTTCTTTATAAGTATATCTGTCCGTCCTATGTCAGTCAGGCAACAGTACGATTGTTCGTCCCCATGTGTGTCCAGTTGTCTGATTTTCTGTTCTTTATAAGTATATCTGTCCGTCCTATGTCAATCCGACAACAGTACGATTGTCCGTCCCCATGTCTGTCCAGTTGTCTGATTTTCTGTTCTTTATCAGTAGATTTGTCGATCCTATGTCAGTCAGGCAACAGTACGATTGTTCGTCCCCATGTGTGTCCAGCTGTCTGATTTTCTGTTCTTTATAAGTATATCTGTCCGTCCTATGTCAGTCCGACAACAGTACGATTGTCCGTCCCCATGTCTGTCCAGTTGTCTGATTTTCTGTTCTTTATCAGTAGATTTGTCGATCCTATGTCAGTCAGGCAACAGTACGATTGTTCATCCCCAGGTCTGTTGGGTTGTTTCCCGATGTCCCCATTGGAATTCCGTATTTTATCAGAAAATGTATCCAGCTGATACTAGTCCAGGTTTTTGTCCAGGAACAGCACGGCTGTCTGTCCAATGAAAGTTCAGTTGTCTGTCCGATATCAGAAGCCCAAATCAAACATGTGACGGTTGATCCTTCTCTCCAAAAAAGCCCACGGCTGAAAAAAACCAAATACATATTATGTGGGTTATTTTGATACGTCTTGTATTGTTACACCTCTATTTTATACATGCTGCGTATATCAACTCACTGTCATGGCAATTTGACGTATTTTCTGAAGACAACAACAGTAAAAACAAATTTTCACAAAATCTAGACAAGTTAATGACCTATTTTTTATTGTTATGTTTTCTTTTGTTTTCTACACCCCTTGAATATGTCATGGCGAAATCGAAGGTTCTGTAACTTATTAGGATAAGAAAAAGGGCCCGTATTCATGCTCAAGAATGGAATCTACCATCCTCGATATCCAGAGGATACGCTCACTTTCGCTCTCTACACCCCTGGAATATGTCATAACATGAATACGGGCCCTTTTTCTTATCCGAATAATATATGTTCAAGGAAACTTTCTCTTAACGCACTTCGATTGTGTGATACGGTCAAAAGTCCTGTGAAACCATTCGAAACAACTTTCGGTTTTAAGTCTCTTCAATTGTTTTCCCCAAATCCTTAACAAAATAGATTTTGTTCTTAAATTATCACCGGAACATGGGAATGGGCTTTAGCACTGAATTCGAGTTTGAGCACAAAATTCGAGTTTGAGCACAAAATTCGAGTTTGAGCACAAAATTCGAGTTTGAGTACGAGAACAGTTTCATGAATAAGGACCAAGATGTAAACAAACAAAACCCGCAACAGCGTATCGGTAAAATTGGCTGGTGTTCAAGTCGGGTGTCGCTCCTCTGTAAATGTCAAAGGACAGGTATGCTCCTAAACGATATGCAAGTTTTTTTAAATGAAGCCAATCAAAGAGCTAACCATGTGCCTTCGATTTTGTCATGACATCATTCCCAGAATTTCGACGATGATGGCACTTGTATTCCACCACGAAAGAGGACACATTCTTGTAGTGAACTTGCTTGAGTCTGGACTTCAACAAGTCGATATAGAGAGATGCATATATCATCAAAAGTTAGTTGACATAAGGATTGAACAGCATATTTCAAAGTCCATGCCGGTATAAACGCAAATTGGTTACATTATATTCCATTAAGGGTTTCATGGTATTAATGTATATGAATTTTGCGTTCATTTTGGCATGAACATCGAAAATACTGTTCAGGCGTTTTATGTACGTTCTAAATATTTTGCTATTTTTAACTTGATATAGGTTTTTCTCTTATATTTTCGATATTGAAGTGTCTTTGTCGTCATGACCAGTGCAAGCGAGATTCCTGGAACAGCCTAAAGTCATCAAAATGATTGCTTCTGGTGGTTGTCTTACGTAAAAGGCGGGTTGAGAAGCTTCAAAATGTCACAAATTGCGTTCATAGCTGTATGAATGAAATATCTTCTGACAATGATTATAGAGTAACTTGCAGTGGAAATGTAAATATTGTGACATGAATGTGAAGATAAGACGTTGTTTACTTTCTTAGGAACATCATTTCAAATATCTAACCCTACTCACCCACCTTCCCAGCAACTGCAATTAAGAATGAAAAGTGGCTGACTTATATGGGAATGATTTGTTTGCCACGGGAAGTTATTTTTCCTTCAAAACGTGCTATATTCAATAAATTCCTATTCAATAACAATAATTATTTTCATATTTTTAGTACTAAAATACACGTATCAACTTACCGTGCCCTTTTGACATGTGTCGTCTTCTACCCAAGCCTGAAGGTCCCGGATTACCTGAGCAGGCCGCTTATTATCATGCAAAGCGTCACAGAGATTACAAAACTGGGCCCATATGCCGGACTTTGTCACCTTGTACTCTGTTGTCCACTTAAAGTAGCTTTTAAACAGTGTATTATTCGTTGCTACTTTTTTAATATATTCTCCCGCCGATTTCATGTCAGCGAAGTCAAAAATATTTATATAAGAATGCTTAATAACGGGATAACTCTGCTGTTGTCTTTTCCAGTTGACAATCGGAATACTGCCTGCAAAGAGTGAACTCCAGTACTTCTCCGAAACGTAGTCAGTACAGTAACTGTTTTCGAATTGGATCATAAACTTGTAAGTTCTGAGTTTGGCTGTGCACTCTTCGTTATCTCGTGGACACGATAAGTTACCACAACGACCGTAGAAGTCAACAGGCACGTGCTCTCTTAGTTGCTCCACCAGGCGGTAGCGCTGAACCTCGTCATAGCAATCGCTATTAGTGATTGATACGTTATTTATCTTACGCTTTATTAATGTGGGAAATTCCAGATTATACCAGTTTGCACGGTCCTTCTTTTCGTCCTTAGTTAACGGTACTGCGACAGCAAATGGTGCTTCAATCGTTGAATCTCGTCGATAATTCATTGTCCAATTAAAAGTGTACCGGAAACGACGTAGGTCAGGCCAAACTCGAGTAGTTGGTTCTGCCCACCACACGACCCATACCTGTCTCGGATCGCGGTAAGTCGGCAATCCCAGCCAGAACCATAAATCGAAGATATGGAACAAAACTGCATCAGCTTCCTTTATCCGGGAACGGTCTGAAGTGACCGAGCAATCACATGCACATTCGCTCATTTGTTTTTGTAGCGTGTCCGTCCAAAACCACTGCATAAATATCGGAGTCCATACCAGAATCAGGCGTTTCGACTTCTCCTTCCAAACTCGATTAGAAAAGTAATGAACATGTTTTGAGGATTTCGTCACGTCCTGTTGCATATGAAGCGTCCCCGAATCCGTCCATGAAGAGTTGTGCATTAGGCAGAGAACCCATATTTGGACATACAACAGAAAAAATAAAATAGCGAATTGGCGCCCTCTAAACACTGCCAGCGGGATAAAACAATTGCGAAATCTGTAGAAGAAATAAAAACAAAGTGAATGGAGTATAAAATAACTACAAACACCAACCCCTCCCCCATCCCGCTTTGCGCGTGACCTTTGACTATTTAACCTTGACGGACGACCATCGAATGTAGATGTAAAACTCAAAGTTAGTATACTATGATGTAAAAATATATCAATTCTGTTGAGGGATTCGTGAAATATCTTGTACACAAGCGTTTTACTTCAAAATTGTGAAGCGTTCTTTTTGCCCGTGATCTTTGACCTTTCAACCTTGACCGATGACCACCAAAATTCAGGTGACCGGTGAAAAAGTCAGTCACTTAAATATGGCGTTAATAAAATGTGTTGAGTGGTTCGTGAAATAACTTGTTCACAACCTTTTTAATTCAAAAATGAAGTGTGGTCTTTGACCGTCCCTTTGACCTTTCACCCTTAGCCGATGACCACCAAATTCTAATCAGGTGTTATTATCTGGGTTTGCCATATATTCTTTTTACAATAAATTTAAATAATGTTTGGAGGGGTTAATGAGATATACAAAAATGTATTGTACACAAGTTTGTAATCGTTAAATGTGGTTGTTTACCCCTTTTGTCACTGTAGACCCTAATGGACTTATCCAGATCAAAGAATGGTAGAGTTTACTAAAGTTACATAGGCGTAAAATCATTAAACATGCAGACCAAAAAATAAACAATTTAAGTTAACTGATGGAACAAATTAACACCAATTAATTAAAACGACGACAAAAACAATTATCAATTTGACTTTTGGTTAAAACCCTCCCATGAGACCCGGCGAAATTGGTTTTTGAATATCTTGAGTTCTGCGAACCTATTTGGTCATGATCACTGAGTGACTGAAGTTACCTCAGAAATGTAACAAAAATCCATATGTATCTTTTTACGAGGGATATGCTCCTGAAAATTCAAATAACATGTAGAAGTAATCCTTGAAATATAGCCCTGCTACAGTTATATGGAAAACGACAGTACATTTAGTCTCTATGTACATCAAAAGTATTTCGCGGTCACGTAACGGTAGAAATTGACAGGCTTTGAAGTCGGGCGTCTCTCCTTTGTAATCTTCAAAGGACAAGACTCAGCCTAGCGATTGGTCAGGTGTTTTTTTTACCTGACACCAATCAAACCGCTATCTTCGTACCTTCAATTTTGTAAGCAAAGGTGATCGTTACCCCTGGAGAATCGGCGGTGCTCGAATCCCGGTCAGTGACATTACCCGGACCACTGAACCTTCATTTTTTTATAACATAATGCAGGGATTTTAAATCACGCGGTCCCACCCCGGTAATTGTCACACTGTGGACATTATTAACTCTATGTGATTTAAAATCTGAACAATACACACCATGTAAGTGGTGTTAAATAGTAAGGCTGAAGATTTCTCGCGCAATGAAAGTATAATGACCTGGGTTTGAAAATTGGGTTTAGGAAAGTAAACGGCATTGCATTGTTGATAATGTTTGTAAATATACATGTAGGATAATATTTACCTCATTTGTTCGTCTGGTTAAAACAGGTCGCTATCTGTGAAACGAAATAAATTAGAAATAAAAGATGTTTTAGTTCAAACGACTTGAATTATAGATCTTTCATATATACATCAAAAATCGATTACAGCCACGTTAAAATAATATTTGTAATACCATTTACACTCTGGAATACATATTGATTTATCTGAAAACAGATTACATGATCCTCAATCACTTATAATACAAGTAGAAGGAATGAGGTTATGTAAATAATATGTGTATGTCACGTGTCACAGGTGGAGATGTGCAGTAGAAAGAGGTAGAGATGNACGTATGTTTCGTAATAAAGAAAACAAAAAGCTCGCCTTGCTGGCCTTGACAATATTTTTAAAAAGCATCTTGAATTAAAACACAAAATACTATTAGTATCCCTGGACATGAAAGAGTATTCAGAGCAATATTAAACGTGTAGATCATTTCTCTGCCAAAATGCCCCCTCCAAATAACGATATGTGTATA